ACCATCAGTATATAACTGAGGGTGAGATCATAAATAAATTCATTCGAATGCACCATACTTTAGATACACTACACTTTACTATTAGCCCCCCACACAGCACGCTAACAACTCACTTCTCCATTTATTCACATGCTTTGCCAACACTTCCGTCCAATAATTCCGCAAGAAATAATTCAGCAAGAGAGCTATCCTATGACCTGGAAAAATCCCCCTCACAATTCCCATCCTTAAAGTACCTAAGCCTCCAGTTGCTGCAGAGTTCAGGCCGATCTCGCTCACACAGATCTTCAGATGGATTTTTGAAATAACAATTTTCCAACCTTTCACACTCACCCAGCCTTCAAATTTTGTAGATCCCAAGCCGGCTACATACTTAAATAATCTGCCACATGACATGCACTCACACTTCATGACCGTATATCCTACCATATCCGAAACCGAGGCTCGTCAAAGCGCAACCATCTTGTTGTTCTGGACTTTAAACATGCTTACGATAGAGTTAATTACAAGCGATTGTTACATCTCCTACGGCTCAGAGGCGTCCCTATCCTAATCACCGTTATGTGCGCAAATCTTCTGGAGAATCAGAGCGCCAGGGTTTTATACCAAAGCAAGTTATGCGCGACGTTCTCCCGCCGTAGAGGTCTTCCACTAGGATCACCAATTATGCTCCTACTTTTCAATGTCTACATTGACCCACTGGCTTGGCAACTTGAGAAGTTCTGTGAAGATGCTTCTCTTCTCCTTGCCGACGATATATTTCTGTATCACCATGACACAAGCACACTCTAAATTCTGCTAAATTGCTGTCAAAGTTGGGCAGATGACTGAATTAAAGTGTGGCTTTATTCCCGGATATCAAGATGGACGTCCCTCTGATTTTGCTATTAGACCTATCCCGATAGTAGTCACATACAAATATAAAGAAATTCCATGCCACACTCATGGAATTCTACGGAAGCTCTAAATAGCAAACTCAGCAAAGCAGCACAAATTGGCTGCTCTTTTGGATTCCACGCTGGCCCCCAACTACACCCATGTACCAAACCACTGCTATATAAGACATTTATGTAATCCAAGATCGTTTTGAGATTGAGTATCATCGAACTGCCACCCCGTGGAGCTCAGACTTCCACAATCTAACCAGTTTGACATCTATACTTACCATAATGATGTGATCCTAAAGTGCGCAGCTACCATTTTTAACTGCAAAAATCTTCCACAAGAAATTCCATTCCACACTCATGGAATTCTACGGAAGCTCTAACTAGCAAACTCAGCAAAGCAGCACAAATTGCCTGCTCTTTTGGATTCCACGCTGGCCCCCAACTACACCCATGTACCAAACCACTGCTATATAAGACATTCATGTAATCCAAGATCGTTTTGAGATTGAGTATCATCGAACTGCCACCCCGTGGAGCTCAGACTTCCACAATCTAACCAGTTTGACATCTATATTTATCATAATGATGTGATCCTAAAGTGCGCAGCTACCATTTTTAACTGCAAAAATCTTCCACCAGCCAACAAACCCTCTCTAAGTGTAAAACCCTACTTCGTTTTGTTTTAGGGGGTTTTTTTTGCTAAACCCTAAAAAACTATCGCGATATCTCAGTGGGACGACTTGGGGCCTTTTGTACCGCTCTTCGGCCCCAGACCATCCCCTCAAATCGGTATTTCTCCACCCAAATATTAGGCTACATATGGCATCGTACGCTCGGCTATCGTGCCTCGCCTTTCATGGCCCTACCAACAGAACGTATATCCAAATGGCTGTCAAAGCCAGCAAATGTTGAGAACAAAATCGCAACAGATTCCAGGCCAATACTGTCACCTAACCGTACAGCACGAGCACACAAATGCTACTGCACGATAGGGATACTAAGAACTATGTGGATAACGTCTTCACGTCGCACCAAGCCCAAGTTGTTCTTGTCAAACTACTATGGTGCTTTAACACTTTCTGGTTCATGATGTCTACCAATGTGACCGGAACTCTTGGTGGTCTTCGGTGGCCGCAACACACTGATATCACCGCCACGACATCACACTCCAATCGCTTAAAAGACTTCCTTCAAATACTGCTGGGTCCCACCCATCATGGTACAGACACCATAATTTCGTGGTTAGCTGACAAAGACAAGTGGATACATTTGGCAGTAAACCACTCTCACCTTAAATACTTCTTCATACCGCGAAACCAACCCCTACCCAGCCCTATAGCAGCAAAAAAAACATATTACATTACCCATATTCATACGTCCTATACTAGAATACCTTCATATCACAAAGGTATTTCACTCTCAGCCTCATACCCATCCCACAATTATCCCAACAAACTCCCACACAATGCACCGACTTGGCTCTGCCTGGATCCCTAATGGTAGAATCCTGGCTATGGCGAGACTCTGTCAAAGACTCCTATTTATTGCTATTGGACTTGCTGTAAAACCCCCGCAACTACAACATCCTAATGCTATACTCCTAGCAATCCTCCATGACCGCATCCTTCCACTGCCTTTCCAGGGTGGACCGGCTACTTCTAGATCGCACACACTGTTCTTTGTTGCTATGGTCCCTAGCTGCCTCCTTCTTAGTTTTACTACAAAGTGGCACACACTCTACCCTATATTAATTGAAATAATCAACGCTATTGATCCTTTGTCCCATCGCATCGCTACTAAGCCAGTAGTGTGATTAGGCAAACGTCCATAACACTTAGTATGGAACAAGTTGCCGCTCCATGCCTCCAAATCTTTAGCTATCTCAACTAACTTTAATGTGTATTGTATGCTACCATGAATTGCTGCTCGAGATGTCCAAGAACGTAGTAGATTTTCAATTCACTCTCTATTGCAATAAATATGAACAAAAAAAATCAATGTCTTGTCAGTATATGATAAGGCGGTAAAAGCAAAGTTACATTTGCCAAAACCTCATATATTTATGGCAAGTCAGTCCTAAGATATATGTACAGGTCGGTCATATGGGACCGTCTTGCACGTCAAGAGCACTTACTGTCAAGTCATGACACTTGACACCAAGGGGCTGCAGTATTTTCTTATAGTCATCAACCTGGGTTACCGGGAAATCCATTGATCATTTCGGTTTCCCTCACTAGCAAATGAGATAAATTATTCTAAATAACGAAATTACGTTAGGGATATTAATTTTCCTCGTGCCAACTGTTTACCCACAGTCACACACTAGAGGACTGTTAGCTTGATTTAAGCAAGACGTCCTTGAGGTTAAAAGCATTCGCTAAAATGGCGAAAAACGAGATATTCTTGAGATTTTAAAGCCAATAGGGTTTAAAGTTCATTTTCTTTTTAGACAAATTTTAGCTTCAAATCAAATTAACTGAACATTAAGGCTCTATAGCTATATGCAGCTATAGTGCATAGAAGTAGGAAAATGGCTTAATAAAGAGTGGAACAATGACCCAAGAGGTCAGTTGTTTACAGTCCAGTTTAAACATACTTGTAAAAATTTATTAATTCTTTTACAGAGATACGATGGATTAAAATTAAAATGACGATATTAGGATCGTTTTCAATTAACTATCCAATTAATAGTGATTCATTATACGTGCTAGGCGTCGTCACTTTTCTATGCCTTATTAATCAATAAATATATTACTCTCAAACAAACAGTAAACCACGCTGATTCTTATTTTGTTCTGAATTATACTGTATTTGACTATAACAACTGTTACTATGGAATTCACTTCACGAAGGAGCACTACAACACTATTTGTGTGGATCCTTATAAACTTGAAGCTATGATTGATTTGTGCTAGGTTTACTGTTTCTTTCCAATTGATTGATACGTCTGTTATTTTCTCGTGCTTCTGATATTTTAGGTACAGATTGTTTTATTTCTACGAAGTTTCATCTCTGCGGCAATAGTCCGCGCTCAGACACTTGATCCACTTTCGGCCGACGTATTGTTTCATCGATGTTCATCATGCATTTGGCATTCTTATTCTGTCGTAAAGTCTTGTCTATGGTGTATGGTTTTATCGTGTCATTGCGGGATATTTTGGATCTGATTGACGTTTTAATAAAGTCACCCACTCCGATAATTTGATACGATATGTAGCCTGCTGATTCAAATTTCCGTTGCATATAATTTAATCCTGCACGCGAGTGATCGCTTGCTTTCAATCTAACAGAGAATCTTGGATCCAATTTTGAAATGTTTCATCTTTTCTGTTGCCGTTTCTTTTGTCTATAGTTTTGCTCTTCTTATCCGACAGTGTCAAAACTGAAATATAACTATGTACTGATTTTTGGCAAGTAGAGTACCTGTGTAAACGCATCCCATTGCAATCCGTATCGCAATGAAGGTCTATTGTTTAAATACAGCGTTTACCTTATGTTCAGTTACTGTTAGTACTGTTCAGTAATATGAAGTATAATACCTGGAAGTTATGCCACCTATCAAGAGTATGCTTGTATATCCTAGATCTCACATATTCTCTTACACCATGCAGGTATTCTGACTGATCGATGATTTGGCACGCAGGTATTCTGACTGATCGATGATTTGGCACGCAGGTATTCTTTATCTGTCAATAACATACCACGGTTCTCGCTCAAATTACCTCGTTATTGGACTAATCACCAAGTTTTACTCGGGCCTTGCCCTGAATTTTCATATAATGTTCGTCATATAATAATAATAAATCATCCATCGTAGATTTCCATATTGTTCATATAACTCCCCTCCTGATTGAGCTTTTAGAATAGAAATCGATTCATACGCTTTTATTGTTATTTAGAGTGGCAGGAAGCCTAAAATATTCTGGGAGGATTCGATGATCAAACGCCAGAAAGGAATGGTATCTTCACATTGACAAACAACTTGATAGACAAAAATCTTCGAAACCCTGATATAGAAATTTAGTTGTCGTTTATGTATGGGTCGCTATGACACGAGCAGACTGAGGCGTATTAGCCCATACCAAGAGGTACGACATTAATAGTAAAGAATATCTCAGTATAGACCTCTGAAGCAGATCTACGAATTATGTATTTTATTAACACTTAAAAAAATATGAATTCCCGATTTTAAATTATACAGGCTGTACTGCATTAAGTTTCGCAAATTCGCCACCCATTGCTACCAACTCGTCAAATTTGCCTTGCTCGACGATAACACCATCTGGAGTGGGGATAAGGGAATGAACGAACGTGAGATGTATTGTCAAACATAATTGGGAAATGTACACTGTGGGTGTAATAGCACCTTTCCACGTGCTTTTTATATTATCTGGCAAAGCATAACACTGTTCAACATGCAAGGCATGATGCGTTTTGAGTACAGCTGTGAATCAGCATGAGATCGGGCAGTATTCACGCGAAATCAGAAACCAGGGGCAATTAAAATCAGAAACACACCACAAACATACAGACACGCGCTTCACCATCACACAGATCTGAAAACAAAAAAATCAAACGAATGGCACGAGTATCATATATTCATCCAAGTTGGAAGCTGGCCAAGGTGTATTCGGACACACAAGCATAAAATGTTTTGCACACCGTGACTAGCCTGCAACTGTCCCGAAGCCTTTTTTAAACTCCCAACCTCCCCCCAAAAAATCATAGCTGCGTCATTTTTACGCACACACGGGATAACACCTTCATACACCCAACTCTTATATCAAACGATGACATACTCTTGATTACAGCTATCTTATCGGCGTTCTTAATAGTGGTCAAGCGGTGAGCAACAATGATTGTGGTTCGTCTCTGAGCTGCCAACAACTTGTCCAGCGCATCCTGTACAACGCGTTCACTCTCCGCGTCCAGGGCCGAAGTCGCCTCATCAAGCAGTAGAATACTAGACAAAAGTACACAGTTATGAGATTCAACAACTCTTGGCAGATATGTTTCTGTGTGAAAAGTGTGTTAAGAAACAAAAAAAATACGGACTAGAAATACAGTATATGCATTTTACGAGAGAAACCTGCTGATAAACCAACACTGTCAATTGAACCTGTACTCGTCGTGCTTAAACTTTGAAGATTAAGAACTTGCCGGCCCTGTGCTGATAGTATCGGGATAGCAGGCGCGAGAACATACCGTGGGTTCTGAATGATGGCTCTAGCTATGGCCACACGCTGCTTCTGCCCACCCGACAACTGTGCACCCCTGTCACCCACTAACGTCTCGTACCCATCGGGGAAGTCCATGATGAAGTCTGAAGTGTATAGTGTAGTATGATTAATTGGTCCATGATAAAGTCTGAAGTGTATAGTATAGTATGATTAATTGGGGTGTTGTGTTTGTATCGGCGCGTGGGTGATTCACTTAGAACGAGACTGGCATGTTTTGCTTTAGGGTTTGGGGTTTGTTCTAATGAGAGCGTGTGCAGTGCCTTTGTGGACAAAGCCTGCACTGGTCAAAGATTGGCCTGTATTTGGCCTGCAACAGTATCTGAGTGATTCCAAATCATTTTACTATTATTAAGATGCGGTGTCAAGAAGCGATACAGAAAAAGGCCGAATCATATCAAGACCACTCACAATGTGACAACAAACGACACAAACCGGGTACTTACTGTGTGCGTTCGCGGACTTGGCAGCATTTACAACCTCTTCAGAGGTGGCGCCTGGCTTGCCAGTAGCAATGTTAGACATGATTGTGCCACCAAACAGCACCGGTTCTTGGCCCACCAGCCCCACTTGAGAACGCAGCCAACTGGGTGAGGGACATGACAGGTGGGGTGAACAACCAATCAGCAGAGAATAATGTCAAGGAAAAGCTCGTATTTATCGCATACGCCGTGATACACAATGTGCATCTCTCATACACAGCATGAGAGATGCACATTGTGAATGTTAATATCCGGTGAGTTCCAAGGTTTGAGCCTTAATACTATCGGCGGTGGTAGGGTATCTCCCCATCCAATCAGTGGGGAGTATGTTTGCCCACAAGTGATTGGCGGGAGGTGCAGTCGACAGAAGGCTATCGATAGTAAGTAAATATCTGGCTATTTCAGTGGGTGTTCGACAATACCCCGAACCCAAACCCAAGCCAAACCGACTATACTATTATCGCTGACAAAGTGGCTTGCTATACATACTTCACGTTGAGTTCTGTTAAATCCACTCCATCCAGGTACACCTGTCCGGCGTTGGGGTCGTAGAAGCGCTCCACCAGAGAGATGATCGTCGATTTACCACTGCCTGCAAGTCGAAAGGGTAGAGACAAGGATGAATATATACGTCTATAACTTCAGATAATCGAGCCTATGTGGCTTGGATGCCGAGTCGTAGGATGTCAAAGGATACCATGAGGAGAAAAGATTGACATCCGAACCAGTGCGCTACGGTACGGTGCATGATAGAAGACAAATAGTCTCTGTGCAAATTTAGTAGTATCTATCTACAGACGGCATCAAACGCACACACAGACGCACAGGCACATTCACACACCCCACTTGACACACAGCACCTCTCTCTCACTCTCTCTCTAACACACACACACACATCCACGCTCACCTGATTCACCGACGAGTGCCACAGTCTGGCCCTCACCAATGTCCAAGTTGTAGCCCTTCAGAATACGTTGCAGTGGTCGTGAGGGGTATTTGAAGTGGACGTTCTTCACCTCAATGTGTCCCTGAGTCGCTTTCGGCTGTGCGCCTTCGAATGACGAGATGTCAATGTCGGGCACACGGTCGACGACCTGAGCATCGGAGATGTGAGTGAGTGTGTGGGTGTGTGAGTGTGTGTGGGTGCGTGTCTCTGTTGTGTGTGTGGGTGTGTGTATCTGTTGTGCGAGTGTAAGAGTGAGCTAGTGTGTGTATGTGTTTATCTGTAAAGGGCCCAGTGATAATAATAGTTTATAGATACATCAATAGATACTTATAATGTGTAATGTGCAGAATAGCATTTCTACCTAACAATCCAAAACTCAGCAGAAAGCGAAAAGGGGAAAATCTATCTATCAATCCAAAACTCAGAAAAGGGGAAAATCTATCTATCAATCCAAAACTCTGCAGAAAAGGGGAAAATCTATCTATCAATCCAAAACTCTCAGAAAAGGGAAAAATCTATCTATCAATCCAAAACTCTCAGAAAAGGGGAAATCTATCTATCAATTCAAAAGGTTTTTAGTTTTAGCTGACCCACAGGGTATCTGTCCACACACACCACATCCGATCAAATCGCTGAGAGAGATTGCACATCGATCTTAGCGGCCATGCTTCTAAACCACTTGCCCTATAATGTACACACACACACACACACACTGACCTGTACACGTGTACACAACGCAATATCATGAATACTCTCCAGCTACTCACCATGAAGATCTTGCGCGCGGCATCGTTTGCGGCTGTGCTGTCGGTCATAAACGACGATGTCTGTGCCAAACCCATGGCAGCGAACATTATAGCCATCAGAGACTTTAGGCACTCGTCGAACGTGATCTCACCTTTACCTACTAAGGTGCCTCCGTACCTACACATTGAGTGTGTTCATTTTTATTGCTAGGCGTCAATGGTGTGGAATACTGGCAGGGAGGCTCGTACACTGTGACGGTTGTTCAATTAGTAATATGTAATTTTTAACTATGTTTGTTCAATTAGTTAATACTATGTAATTTTTAAGTATGTTTGTTCAATTAGTTAATACTATGTAATTTTTAACTATGTTTGCTCAATTAGTTAATACTATGTAACTTTTAACTATGTTTGTTCAATTAGTTAATACTATGTAATGTTCAACTATGTTTGTTTAATTAGTTAATATTATGTGCCTCTCAGCAGCTTGTGACACTTCAAACGTCTGATTCCATTATTATTTATATATGTATAACAACGTGCCATACATACTGTGTATATACGATATATAACGTAACATATCTAACCTAAAACCATACCAGAATACGAGCGCATAGCCACCGAACGAGATGAACTGGGTCATGCCCACAGAGAACCCACCAATCATGCCCTTCTTCACCGTTTCTTTGGTGTTGGTTTGCAGAGCCGTCTGCCAGCGGTGGAATAACGTTGGTGGAATAACGTTGGTGTAAGTAACGTTGGCGAACTACAGTAGTGATAGGCGGTAGGTTGTAGGGAATGCAGATAGAGCTCACTACATTTGTATCTCGTAGACTGCCTGCTCCTCGCAGCAGGTAATACAGTACTGCTAAGGTCGTTCTGTATACCTACATCATCCGCTTATAAGTGTGCTAAGGTGCCTGGCCATAGAGTGTAGGTACGTGCGTGCTGCTGAGATTGTAATAAATCAGTCGAACCGACTGATAATAAGAGAGCGGCTATGCAGCCCATTTTTTCTTTCCAAACACTAAAGATGTTGTCTCGCTCAACTCGAATGAAATTTAAAAAACTAAAGTATAAACACACCGCATATATAAATATATATATATATGAGGTATATACATATATATATGTATATATACAGATAGACTTATATGAATATATGTGATAACATAATTTTGACGACGACGTTCAAGCTTGCCAGAACGGACTCTCCATCCCGATCTAAATATAGATACCTGGTAATTGGCGGCAATGGGCCTTTGCAAACCAAACGCCTTCACAGTCCTGATGTTACCCACAGCCTCAGTGGCGAGTTTGCCTGACGCAGCCACCGAGTCATTGGCGTCTTTTGCACCCGCTTGGATGAATTTGATCTGAATGTTCCGATAATAAGACACGAATAAATTAGGACCAATCATGATTTAGAGACGGACACCAGCCGCATAATTCTGTTCCGTTATATTGAGTACAAAATGTGTTGTATCGGGATTTAACTCGGTGGGAACTACTACAGTGTGTGTGTGAGTAAGAGAACGAAACCAGTACTACATAGGCATGAGAGTGCATGGGGTGAGACCAAGGAAGGTCTGCTAATGCCAAAGCTAGACTGTAAACAGTGAATATAAAGATACTAATACAAATAGAAAGATACTATAATACAAAGGTAGTAGACAGGTACTATAATACAAGTATAGTAGACTGTTAATATAATACAAGTATAGTAGACAGGTACTATAATACAAGTATAGTAGACAGTCACTATAATACAAGTATAGTAGACAGTCACTATAATACAAGTATAGTAGACAGTTACTATAATACAAGTATAGTAGTAATTACTATAATACAAGTATAGTAGAAAATTACTATAATACAAGCATAGAAGACAGTCACTATAATACAAGTATAGTTGACAGTTACTATAATACAAACACTTCGACACTTAGCAAGAGCGGGAACACAGCCAGCAGTACGGCACCACCAGGGTGACCACCGAACTACCCAGCACAGAGAGCCGATACGACCCAGGACTTACCTATTACGTCAAGCGTCAACTACACCCCCGAGTACAATACACCACACAAATATCAGACATATCACCTATCTGAAACGGACAAGAACCCTGGTACTAACACCGTACATCGCTCCAGTACACATACGCACACACAGCTTCTATACACACCACCACCTCACATCCATCCTCACCCACTCACCTGCAGGATACTGACACCCCCCCATATCCCCACACACTCACCTGCAGGATACTGACACCCCCCCATATCCCCACACACTCACCTGCAGGATACTGACACCCCCCCACATCCTCACCCACCCACCTGCAAGGTACTGACACCCACCCACATCCTCACCCACCCACCTGCAAGGTACTGACACCCCCCCACATCCTCACCCACCCACCTGCAAGGTACTGACACCCCGCCCATCCTCACACAGCCACCTGCAAGGTGCTGACACCCACCCACATGCTCACCCACCCACCTGCAAGGTACTGACACCCCCCCACACACCCACCTGCAAGGTACTGACACCCCCCCACACACCCACCTGCAAGGTACTGACACCCCCCACATCCTCACCCACTCACCTGCAAGGTACTGACACCCCGCCCATCCTCACACAGCCACCTGCAGGGTACTTACAACCCCTCACATCCCCACACAGCCACCTACAGGGTACTAACACCCCCCCACACACCCACCTGCAAAGGTGCTGACACCCACCCACATGCTCACCCACCCACCTGCAAGGTACTGACACCCCCCCACATCCCCACACACCCACCTGCAAGGTACTGACACCGATCAACAGCGGGAACAGGGCCAACAGCACCAGCGTCACCTTCCAACTACCCAACACAAAGGCAATGACCATAGCCGTCACGAGTGTAGACATATTCTGCACAATACGCCCCTGGTTTTGTCCGCTCACGTCCTTGACCAGTGTGGCGTCGGTGGCCAAACGGGCTGTTAGAGAACCCGTGTTGTTGCTCTCATCGTCGAAAAAGGCGATATCCTGTGTTTGTTTGTTTGTGTGTGTGTGGAGAGAGGGAAAAGTTAGTTTATGTGATGATTTGAATGTAGAGATATGAATGTAAGGTCAAGGCGATGCGATCAGAGAGTCGAACAAAGAATGGAACGATGCACGTGCGACGCTTGAAGTATATAAATAGGTAATGCCTTTTGATGTTGTTTCCGTTGTCGAAGCGTATCCGGTATCCTCTTCAAAGTTGAACGAGCATATATATATATATATATATATATACATACATATATACATACATACATATACATACACACCCACCCACCCACCCACACACACATATATATATATATAACCCGACATCGCTGCGTGTTGGTATCAGTGGATAAAGGAAGCGGCCCGAGAAGCGGTATATGACAATGTGGGATATAGGATAGACCACATGCAGGGACAAGTAAAGGACGAGTATCGTTTGATAATACGACAATATCCAATCAGTTAAGTCTCATCGCACGAACTCTCACACACACGTACAAGTGCCGAACCTCAAACACGCACCCCAGCTACCTCGAGGAATTGGCACACATTGAACGAATCAGCAACAAAAAATTTATCACAACCGACGATCCTATTTTCGAAATCGAATTGAAGCAGTACACACCGCAACAAAGCACACACTCGAGTGGTTGGATACACCTGGACGAATCAGACACGAGTATTTTAACCCACCTGGACGAATCAGACACGAGTATTTTAACCCACCTGACGAATCAGACACGAGTATTTTAACCCATCTGACGAATTAGAAACGAATATTTTAACCCACCTGACGAATCAGATTGGAGAACGTCATGACCCGCAGGCGCGTGACGAGCTTCTCACCGGCATACGAAAAGATGTACGTCTGGAAGAACATCAGCACACCCGCGACTATAGCCAGAATGACAAAGTCTAACGCGGCCGCACTCATCTGGTCGTAGAGCGTCTCCTTAGGGGCAGTACCCAGTACGTTGATGATGTTGGTTAGCATGACGCTCATGACTGGGAAGACGGCTCCATTCAGCTGCAGGGTGGTATGGGTAGTACGGGTCATTCAGGGTTTTAGGGTTTAGGGTTGGGTGTACATGAGAAAAAGGATGCGACGATAAGGGAACACCCCAAATTTAAAAGAGACAAGTGATTCAAGAGAGTGTATAGAGGTGTGGGATGGCGGGACTAAAAGTAGGAGGGTATCTGGTAGAGGGACGTGGATCGACACATTGCAACACTTCGAACCCACTGTGCGAGTTTTAGTATCTATGCAACCCGTCAGAGAAGACTTTCGCTCAGGAGATAGATATATACATGCAATCAACACCTCGTGTACCTATATATGACCTCGATATACACGACCACATACTCATGTAGGTGAACAGACGTATAAGTATAGATAGGATATGCGCCCTTGATCAGTGTGCTTGTTTAAGTACGCCAAGAAAAAACAATATTTGGATTCTTAAATACTACCCCAGAATTTTGACGAAAAAACGCATGCAACTTTATACTTCATCTATATATATACATATACATATATATAAAATGGTTGTTTACGAGTTTCATTTCTAGAATACAACAATCTGGAACCGAAATTCATATCAGGTCAAAATGAATAAGAAACACTCGAAAGATTGCTGAATTCATTTACCTCCATACTTGTGTATAAATACATAGATACACACACACGCACACACACACATACATATATACGTACATACATAAAAACATAAATATATATATATATACAAATAACAATATGATATACATACATAGTACACAGTAGATACAAAAGTACAAGACACTATCCAGTCGAGCGCACATACCGCAGCCGCAAACATGCCCAGTATCATGAACATGCGCACTGGTTTATTGAGGCTCCAAATACGGCGAGTCAACTCCCAGCCCTGTGCGCCTTCGTCGACGGGTTGAGCCTCGGGATCCTCCTCTGTTAACCCCACATTAGAGTCCTCTTTAATGCCCATCGAACAGCCATCACAATTAAGTTAGCGGGTACGTGCAATAAATAACCTCAAGAGTCTGTACTGACACTTTAATGACCATTGAAGCTTTAATTAAGTTAGCGTGTATGCACGATGGTCCCCCCACGGCCGTTTGTATGGAATATAGACATGCTTGCGGATGCGTGTGTGCGTATGTGGGTTGTATATACACTTGTGCATGTAAGGATCGTCATATAGGTCAGTCAGCAGCGGTTGGATTGTGAGTTTGGCTGATACACATGCGTGCGTACGCAATCGACTTAAACGCATCTGTACGTCTATCTTTAGTGACCATCTTTATGGTAGACAGACGGATGATAGTAGAGCAGGGGACCAGCCCGTAGGCACATGTGTGATAGTGTGGGAAGAGTGGTAGTCACTATATCGCCGGTGTAAATAGAGGGATATGGTAGGTGACTTTTTGATAGATGTATGTCTGTTTTGTTTGGTCGTTGCGTACACCCATAGGGTATGAAATAGTATACGAGCGTACTCATGTTGACTTACATATACGTTAACACTCGAGCAAGCAACAAGCAGAGTGCATGAAAGCTCGTGTCCCCACACGAAGATCACAGAAAAGAATACACTGTTTGTACAGTACACCAATCTCGTGGTGGTTGTCAAAATCTAGCGAGAACACAAAAACACACATGTATATATGCATATGCATATATATATATATATATATGTATGTATATATATATATATACATATATATATATGTAAGCTGAACACACACACACACACACACATATATATACATTTATATATATATATATATATACATATATATACATATATATTTACACACATATATAAACACAACATATAACATATACATCTCTGCACATACCTCCGCGACTCTTGGTCGACTGACTAGTGTGTAGCACACTATGCCTGCTCTTCACACTACTAGTGCGACTGCCCCCCATCTGCGAGATCTTTCGCGCAATATCTGTGGCAAACGCTGACGCCTTGCGTACATTCGGCACCATATTCTCATCAAAACCAGCCGGGACGGGTTCGTCCAGATCGGGTTCTTTGTCCTCGTCCGAGTCGCTGTCGTCTCCGTCTGTGGGGGGGTACGTGTGCGTTGGGTTCAGTACTGCCGCTCGATGGTTGCATACGTTATCATACGGAACGTATTGCATTTAATACAACACAGTTCAATAACCGTGTAGGGTGGTGGGGTTTATGTGCCCGTTCGACCCGGTTGAGTATAGTCATAAGTGGTGTGTGGTGAGACTCTAACGAGTGCGTTCCATTTAGTGCTGCCGCTCGATGGTTGAAAACGTTGTAATGCTTATCGCATTGGATCCAAGACATCACAGTCCGCCGAGTACTCGTAGGTCTAGTTGTGCTATATGTATTTTCAACTCAGATTCTGAGATCGATGGGGTTATCAAATGTGTGGCTGCATGTCGTTGTAAACATTCGCACATAACCTCAGAGAACACCAGACCATCCAAAAAATAAGATAACACAGACAAATAACTGCCACATATGCATCAATGAAAAAAACAACAACATATAATCAACACCATATCAGTAATACAACCAGTCATCACCACTAACCAATAGTCAAGTACCGAACTTCTATCGCCACATACCTGCCAACTGGTCTGTATAGGCCTTTCCCATCTGTAGCTCAATCAGACCATAGTACACTCCATCCTTAATCTTCATCAACTCATCGTGCGTGCCTTGCTCGTGGATTCTGTAAGAGAGGTTGTAAGAGAGGTTTGTGCGCAGTTAATGTGTGTTAACGGTTTGGGCGGTTGGTAACCAAATACAAGTTGTGGTAGACCTGGCGAGACAAACAGGCTTGTACAATAATGAGCTACGTAAATCGCACGCATCACAAGGCATACAGGGAACTTAAAACAGCACCTGCACAGCTACATATATCCAAACAAAGTAGATACGTGACTACTGAGAGATTGCCCTTACATGTGTACAAACCACGTGCAAACACTGGAATGGTGTGCTCCTCGGCTGGGATGGTCAAAGTTATCATATATGCTTGATAGCGAATAGTGTACTGCTGACTGTGTGGGCAATAAACTCATTTTCTATCACCTCAAAACAAAGAAGAAAATCAGCGCAATGTATATTTACGGAATATACACTCACTCTCCATTTTTGGATAAGAACACGGACACGACTTGCGCAGTGTATAGTAAACCACCTGCCCTGTGTGAGCAATACACTTACTTTCCGTCTTTGAAGCACGCGATCACATCAGCGTTGCGAATAGTTGTCAGTCGGTGCGCCACAACCAGACACGTGCGGTTGTTGTCGTCCATGAGACCGTCGAGCGCCTGCGTGTGGGTGGCAGGACTTCAATCAGCACATATGGCTTATCTAGGCGTATATATATATACATACATACATACGTATATATACATACATACATACATATATATATACACACACAGAGACATATATATATATATATACATATACATATACATATATACTCAAATGCTGAGAACGAATACGTACTACTTTTATATACGTACTACTTTTATATATGTAAGGGGTAAGAGGTATGTAGGTGTATATCTGTATGGTCATGGTCACTGGTTCGCATTCATAAGTGTGTATTGTCAATTTTATATCGCCGAGTACATACCTACCTATACAAGCATATTTAGTTCTATTCCCTTGCCTTATATTATAACAACTACCGTTGCTTACTGATTCAGGTCAAATATTGCATCTCAGAAACAAACATGAACATGTCAAGCGTCAGGTATAAAAAAAACAAGTGTCAGGTGTCGATCGTCAGTGTCATGTTAAATTAAAAATATCAAAGATAGATATCCGATATGCACTGCTACCGCTTTCCATCTCAAGAGCACTGTTTGCTACACATTAAAAGCACAAATCTTTGGGCTGCGTATGCAGCAGCATCTACCCACATACGCATTCGTATCAGTAGACATGTGTATGTACAAACGAGTACTTATGCCAATGAGCAGACACTTACGGCGCTATCGAATCGTGACACAGCTGTTAAATTATACACTCTCATGCACATACATGCAGACAAACACACACACACACATATATATATAAATATATAGGCATATACATACACATATATCATACCGCCTGGACAATTCTCTCACTCTCCGTATCCAGAGCACTAGTGGCTTCGTCCAGCAACAGAATCTGTGGCCGACGGATAATGGCACGGGCAATGGCGATGCGCTGTTTCTGACCGCCTGAGAGTTGCACACCTTTCTCACCCACCAGTGTGTCGAAGCCGTTTGGGAACTGCATGATGTAGCTGTGAACGGGATGGAGGAGTATATGAGGCGATTCAATAGAAGTACACGGGCAGTGCATGCCACGTGGTAGCACACACACACTGTTGTAGATCACACCGAGATACTATACCTATGCTAAACGTCAACGGAAGGGGACTTCCAAATCCAAACTACAAACGTGAAGCCGCTCTGACTTAAGTCCTATTTTTATAACACACCACAAAGACATGGACAATAAAACACTCCAAAGACATAGACACTGAAAGACCCCAAAGACAGAACAACTCACTACCACTCACTTGTAGGCATTGGCGCCAGTCCCACTTCTATAAAAGATCCCAAAGACATAGACACTGAAAGACCCCAACGACATAGAACAACCCACTACCACTCACTTGTAGGCATTAGCGTCCTTGGCGGCTTGCACGATGTCGTCCATAGACACAGTTGAGATGTCGCCCTTTCCGAACGCAATGTTCTCTGCGATGGTGCCGTGGAAGAGAGAGGGCTCCTGTCCCACCAGTCCTATATACACAAATATAGGTTATTCACCCAGGATTAGATAAACGGGCTGGGCTGGATTGGGTTGGGTTTAGGGTTGGGCTGGGTTGGATGGGGTTGGGTGTTTGAGAATAACTCCAGTAAGCTATGGGCAATCTGTAGCTTTGGTACGAATCAGCTCGGGTCGGAGAATGACTCACACAAGCGTGTGTTTGTACTACATAACCAGAATATTGGACCTTAAGTCCTGAATATTGGAACTTTAGTCCTGAATATTGGACCTTGAGTCGTGAATATTGGACCTTAAGTCCTGAGACACATGGACAAAGAAGGGACCGCAATGAAGATCCGGACAAACCACTCTACAAGTTGGCCGGATGGAAGGGAGTCGTGGATTGGTTACACAACACTACAATACCACATACACAGACAAGTGATGGAAACCTTCGGCTGATGAATAACCCTAAAACCCAAAACCCTTATATACCACAATGCCATAGTGGGTATAAAGTGTCGCACGACACACGCAGATGCTATGAGGAGAGAGATAGAGATAGACATTGCAAACATAAACCACACACCAACACCACAGATAGACGAGTGACATAGACCATATGCACAAACCTCAAACACCACCACTAAAACATAAGCATACCCATTTGACCACGCAGCCAGTATGTGTCCAGACCCTTAATGTCCTGGCCATCCAGCAGAACAGACCCCTGAATGGGCTCATAGAAACGCTGCAGCATGCCAATAGCGGTACTCTTACCTACCCATTGCGGAAGAGGAGTGGACGTAGCAAGATTGTTATGTATTAGCTTCTGTTTGGGTAGGGGGTTCTTTTGGGTTTGGTACATCACCGACTTTGCTGTATATGGTGTATTGCGCGAGTTGGGTTTCCTATGCTAACTGATGTGTGAGGTGCTCGTCATTCGCTGTAGATGATCAGTAGTATTGGATGTCGCAGACATTGATAGATACAGCAAACTGCGCGAGTCTCGATATAGATTTCGCTGTTACCGTTACATGCAAGCAATTCACGCTGCTATATATATATATATATATACATATGTATACACTCCCACATGATAATAAATATACACATGTATTTGTACATATATACTATATCTTATATATATATATATATACTTACCAAGGACCACTCACTTACCACTTCCCGAAGCACCGACTAAGGCGACGGTTTGGCCTGGCTTGACCTTCAAGTTGAAGTTTTTGAGAATCACTTGGTCGGGTCGAGATGGGTAGACGAATGTGATGTCTTTAAACTCGATCACTCCCGCTGTGCTGTCGGGTTTGGCACCACCGTCCTGATGATGGCATGGACACACGCATGAAGAGTGTGAGAATACGTACCTTGTATCGTCATACATATATGTATGCAAGAACATACAGGTGTATATGTATGCTCATACAGTTATATATGTCCGATTTATGATGTGTGGTTGAGCGATTTTATGTGAACCGTATTAGAAGTCTGGTTATGTCTGCGTCTCCGTTTGTTTGTGCGGGTGCGATTGTGAGCGCCTGTGTAAACGCGTGCGTGTGTATAATGTGCATATACGTGTATGTGTGTAATGTGTACTTGGATGTTTGTGTGTAGATACCTATACCTATACCTACATATATATATCTATAAGTATATATATATTGTAACAATATATATATATATACATATACATATACGTACGCACACACACACATATATATATACATACGTATGAGCGTAACCGTTGACCTACCTCTGGAATTCGGGGGTTTCGCTTGAGGATACGCATGATAGACTCCATAGCACCACGGCCTTCAAGGATGGATGTGAAATTAGGACCCACCTGAGAATACATATCGAGAAACAATTGTCAAAAAGTGAAGTCGAAAACTATATGCATATAGATACACATACACATACACATACACATACACATACACATACGTATGCATACATACATACATATATATATATATATATAGATCATACACATACATATACATAAATTCATACATATACATACATATACACACACACATATATATATATACTCAATATATATATATATACACTATATACGTATATACATATACATACATACACATACATACATACATAGATCATACATATATATATATATATCCCAAAAGTCCCTCAAAATCGGACCACTCCGTACCATTCTGAAACGGAAGGACACACTGGTCACACCAGCCACTAACTGCTCCACAGTACGTGTACACTCGCAATGTACGACATACACATCACTGCTACACACCTGGGCAATCGCCATAGCACCCATAGTGGGACTCAGGAACACATCTCCCACTTGCCTGTCCTTATACAACTATCAGAATAAACCATACCTGCATGGTACTACACCTCTCACCCTACACACTTCTCTATAGATCTACACCGCGTACAGACATAGTAAATAAGTTATAGGGACTAGCCAACCACACACCCGAGCAACAGCCAGAGCCCTCGTCATGAAAATGAACCGAAGCACACTCAGCCCCATATTTGAAACAATACATCCACTACACTACTACAGTTCAATTGATGTACAAGATATACACCCCACTACAAACCACCCCCACACCTGCGCAATAGCCATAGTCCCCATCATGAAACTGAAGAACACATTGGTTACATCGCCCACGGACTGGATGTTGGGATCGTCGTTGCTGATCAGATACCCGCCCCACCACCAACCCAAGGCATAGGTCAGGAAGATGATCATGAAGATAAAGCCCAGACTCAGGGCCAGCAGAAGCCCGGCCTTGATGGCAACCTATTTGAGATACACAAAGGGTAAATACATCACGAATGAACACACAGGTCAGGAAGAGGGGTATAGAGATAAAGCCCAGACTCAAGGCTAGCAGAAGTCATGCTCTGATGGCAACTGATGTAAAATGATATAGTATGAATACACCAGGAGTGAATATACGTAGGCAAAAAAGATAGGTATCGAGGAACAAGCCCTGACTAAGGGTAAATACATCACGAATGAACACATAGGTCAGGAAGAGGAGTATAAAGATAAAGCCCAGACTCAAGGCTAGCAGAAGTTATGCTCTGATGGTAACTGATGTAAAACGACATAGTATGAATACACCAGGAGTGGATATACGTAGGCATAAAACATATACATATACAAATACACACGTATATATATAAATACACAGACACATACATGTATACATATACATTTACATATAAATTTGCACATACACACTCACACACAGAAACATATGCGCGTGTGTTGTGTACACACCCACCTTCTCAGCACCAGCAACAAAGCCCTCGTAGCGCTCCGTCTGAGTCTTTTCCGCCGACAAACTGGCGACCGTTCGCATTGAGCTGAAGGTCTCCTCAGCCACACCGCCTGCCTTAGCGTACGCCGTTTGCTGCTGCTCTGTGATGATCTTAATAGCCACGCCCAAGGCACCGAAGGCAATGATCATCACGGGGAGACCGGCACACATCATCAGAGCCATCTTCCAGCCTGTGTGTGGGCGGGCGTGTAAGTAGGTAACACACACAGAAGAATATAAGCAATACATTTACCCTTCACGATACCCACAATGAAACCTTCGAAGAAAGGGCATATACATCTAACCCTCTGATTACACACAGAAGAATATAAGCAAACCACCTACCCTTCAAGAAACCCAGAATGAAACCTCCGAAGAAAGGACATAGACATCTGACCCTCTAATCACACACAGAAGAATACAAGCAAACCATTTACCCTTCACGAAACCCAGAATGAAACCTCCAAAGAACTGGCAGATATACTTGATGAATTCGGAAAGTTTCTGGCCGATGGCACCCTGTATCAAAACGGTATCTCCTGCAATACGCGACGACAGCTGTGTGGGCTCTCGCACATCATACCATCCTAGTTCCTGCTTGAGTGTCGCTCGCAGCGCCTGTTTAGCAGAAGCACCCAAATAGATAAGTAATGGTATACATACACACACACACACATACATACTAACTCTTATATATATATATATACATATATGCATATATTTACATATATATATATAAACATATATATATATATGTACAATTTGTGAAGAGAAAATAGACTTCCAACTGTCCTCAGATGTATGACGCTAGCCCGAGAAGAACCTTCATACCTGAACACACCGCAGGCGGAGGTGGCGATCTCAAAGTGCAAGTGAGCGCGTAAGCGAATACGTTTACCAGAAGCGAAAGGAGTCAATAAAACATTATGGCAGAAAATACCTACCTCTGCCCGGAGTATCTCAACCTGATTGGCCGCCGCAACTGCGAAGCATGCATAACCAAGGAAACTGGTGAGAAAGAGCACGATGGCAAAGTAGAAGAAGTTCAGCGACGCATCCTTGACGACATCGGGTTGGTATGTGGGATAGAATCCGTCCATGGTGTCTCCAAGTAGCAGACCAAAGAAGGGGAAGGCGACACCTGTGTGTTTATGGTAGGTAGTTTGAACTTTGATAATGAAGGAATGCAACGTTTGTGTGTATATAGAGAGACAGGAATGATAGTTGAGTTTTATTAATTAAGCAATACAACGTTTGTGTGTATATAGAGGGGCAGGAATGATAGTTGAGCTTGATTAATTAAGCAATACAACGTTTGTGTGTATGTAGAGAGGCAGGAATGATAGTCGAGCTTGATTAATTAAGCAATACAACGTTTGTGTGTATATAGAGATGCAGGAATGATAGTTGAGCTTGATTAATTAAGCAATACAATGTGTGTGTGTCTATAGAGAGTCAATGATGATAGTTGAGCTTGATTAATTAAGCAATACAACGTTTGTGTGTATGTAGAGAGGCAGGAATGATAGTCGAGCTAGGATATTAAAGAAAGACAGCTTACAACACGTATCTAGTGCGATAAAATTTTACTCAACGAGATGCTTTATGCACCAAGATATATGACGCTGCACAAGCCAAAAGCAATGAAATCAAATGAACGTAAATCCACTGCCCTGGGGTCCTACTACGATCGATACGTATATATTGACTGCAAATCAACGAATATTGAGTTGGTTGGCAGCACGCCAGAAGATAGACAGTACATGCACAGGCACACACCTGCTACGCCTGAGGTGATAGCTCCCAATAGCATAAGATACCAGTCTTTCTTGGTCGCCATGATAAACATGTCTTTGAATCCAATATCCACCGCTTCCTCGTCATCGGGGACTTTGTTCTTATCATCTGATAGTAATAGAAATAGAAAGTGGGGCAGGACACGGCGGATCAGATCACAAGTGGCAGTGCGATGGGGTTATGGATTGCAGCTTGGTTTTTCATATGTATAGGGTGATTGACTACAGCTTGATTTTTCATATGAATAGCGTATCTATGCAGAGCTTGAAATTTCATCTGTATCGTAGATACATGACGCTGGGAACTGTACAACTCGAGTTCGCATACATTGTAATAGAACAGCTCACATCACAGCGAAAATGGCGTATCATACCTTCCTTTGTTTTCTTGTCTTTCTTCTTGCCCCATTTACGTTTAGGTTTGCGTCCTCCGAGATCATCGATGGCGTCTGAAGGAGACAATATCATAAATCTCGCCTGTAAGTAAATACGTATCTACCACAATTCATACCGTAAGTATACATGTATCTCACACAATTAACACTGTAAGTATATATTTACCTCACAGAATTCATACTGCAAGTATATTATACTTATCTCTCACACTTTATACAGTAAAATATATACGTATCTCATACAACTCATACTAGAAGGATATTCGTACCTCACACTCGTATCACCAATTGTGCTTGCGGTATTGTATATATACATACACACACACACATATACATACATATATATACATATATATATATGTATATAAATATACATATATATATATATATACATATATATATATGAATATATATATATATGTATATACATATACATATAACATTTACATTTACACAATTATACAAATATACAATTGTACAAATATATCTGCATATACATATACATATATATATGTTTACATATATATAAATATATATACATATATATATATGTATACATAAATATACATAAATATATATATATATACATACATACATACATACATGCATACATAAATTTAGATATATATATATATATATATATATATATGTATACATACATACATATATATATATATTATATTGTATATAATAAAATATA